TCGATGGGCTGAATTGCACAAAACGCATGATCGCACCGGCTAGTCTGGTACGCGTTGCCATTTATTATTCATCAGTTTTTGACACAATTTTTTTTTTTTGCAGTAAATTTTTGTTTATGTGAAATTCATGGAGCAGCTTAAATTCGAAGTTTGCGGTTGTATAACTAGTATTTTTATGCGTTTCTTGCATCTGTGCAATGCAGAAAACGCATATTAACGAGGAATTGTTTGTGTATGTACCCTTTTTCATCTCGAGACTTAAAAAAGCTACAGGCTCAAACTAACTTTGGGAACTTAAACCTACATGCACCTATGGGGCCCCATCACCAAAATGGGCACTCTTACCCGCGTGGTTCCCCCGTAGGGGCCTGCCAGTTTTTGGCGGGTAAGCTGCTAACGCGGGAACCAGAAGAGATAAAAAGCTGAAATTTTAAGGCGATGTTCCCCATTCATGTAGGTCTGAATAGGTTCAGATCCAGTGCCCGGGTATGCATGGTTCCGCATACGGGGCCGTGAAAGTTTTTTTCGGGTAAGCTGCTGACTTGGGAGCCTGAAATCTAAAAGGCTGTAATTTTAAAGGAATGATCCCCGTCTAAATAGGTTTTAATGAGCTCAAACCCAGCCCTCTGGTATGCGTGGTCCCCACGTGAAATTTTTTTTCAAGTGATTTACCAACTTGGGAATCTGAAAAGCTAGGAGGCTGTAATTTTAAGGATATGTTCCCCATCCACTAAGATCCTAATGAGTTATGCGTGGTTCTTATTTATGCGTGGTTCTTATTTACCCGTGGTTCTTATTTACGACCCTTGAAAGTTTTTTGCATGTAAGTTGCTAACTCGGGAACCAGGAAAGCTAGAAAGCTGAAATTTTAAAGGGATGTTTACTGACAGTCCTGATGGTCAGTCTCAATTCTTTTAGGCAGAAGTATTTACTGGAAAAAACAGTGCCATTAATGGAAAAAATCTGCGGGGAATTATGCAAAAAATGCATCTTTGCACCGGCATTCGGTGCGCGGGCCACTTATTTTTTTTTAGTTGATTGCGCCAGCGGTGCATCGTCTGGTAGTCAGTCTGTTGGTGATCGTGCCACGCTTATCGCCTTCTAAGAGGTTTGCTAGTGCAGTGGTTTGCGCGGAAAAAGGAGTTAGCAGGGACTTTAACAATTGCGAGATTTCCTTGAGTGGGACTGCTTTGCCTGAACGTTGCCTTTCCCAGACCATAGTGAGGTATCTTACTGGCTGGGAGTGGTATGAATTTGTATTGTTGTTTTATGGGTTTCTTTGCAGAGGTGAGCAAATTCTGGGAAATCCTCGGCTACAAATCAATACGGCCGCCTTGCTTGCTGATCATCCACTTCTTCCAAAATCCACAATCACGCAACTCTGTGATAGGTTTAATTTTGCTGTTTTTTTTCCGTATAAGTACACACTAATATGTTTTTTATCATGAGAAGTCATTGAAATTTTTTCGACTACCATTTAAAAAAAGCCGATTTGTAATATTTATTTGCTTAATTACCTTTTTCGATTGCCTAACTGACTGATAAAGCTTCAGATTTACAAAACTTATCAATTTCTCGTTACAGCGATTTCTTAAGATCCACAGTCTCACTGTTGGCTTTTTCAGGTTTGTTGAAATAACACGGCGAGACATGCATGAATGGCTAAATAAGACACTGATGCAGGAAAAAGATGTTTGTTGTTATCATATTATGCATACATTTATTTCCATTGATTTGTTGGCTAGATATCGTTTTTTGCATGGCCAGCCCTGTTGGCACTTGTTGCTGTAGTCGAAGTTTCATCCGGTGATCACCTTCTAGCAGCTTGCTTTCGTTTGCCTTTTTTTATACATGGCTATTCAGAAAGATTTATGAAACGTTTCACGACCCTCTATTTCGTTGTAAAATGTTTTATTCTTAAATCCGCTGAAGTGTGATTTTTGTTTGCCTTCCTTAGCTATAAAGCATTACTGGGACGCCTGTATTTCTTTTAAAAGAAACCATTTTTTTCCAACCGTTACCAGTCCCCCGAGAATAACCACCTCTCTCCGTCTGGCGGTTTTTCTCTCAGTTAAGAACTGCTGGAACTGAGTAACAAAAACACTCATATTTTTTATTGTTTTCGTGCTTTGGAGGCTAAAAAAATTATGCTTAGAATTATTCGTTTACCAAGTTATGTCTTGAGTGAGAATATGAGGGCGGAATGGAAAAATTCATTTGAATGTTATGGTTTTTTTGCATGGAAAATACCGTTGGTTTCACATTTATTTTTCTGGATAATATTTTTTCTTTTTTAGGACTGGTACAAGAATGTGCATCCGGAAGAAGAAAGATTGGG